TAATTTTTTTATGTTTTTTTTTTTTCTATTTTAATAATTCTAAATATTTCTTCTAAATGCAGATTTTTAATTAAATAAAAAAATAAAATATGGAACATATTTTAAAAAATCTTGATTAAAAAATCGAATTTATATAATTTCAAAAAAGAACAATTAATTTTTTTAATAGATTTTTTGATTTTTAAAAATTATAAAAAAATTGAATTTATAGTTGCTTTTTTATGATGACACAATTTTTTGGAAAAATTCTGAAATTTGTATTTTTTTAATGTTGACATATTTGCATTTAAAGTTATTAAAAAAAATTTTACAAAAATTATTCAATTGCATCATTTTTACTAAAAACAATTACAAATCAATTTCTATTTGAAACTATTTATTTTTTTATTTAAATTTAATTTATTTGAAACATAATTAACTGAAATTTATTTATAAATTATTTACAGAATTTCTGATAGATTTTTTTTTATTTTCTTCAATATTTTTTTTTTAATTTCTGTTTCTTAGTAATTTTGTTGTTGTTTTTAATTTTCTTCATTTTGTTGTTGTTGTTGATTTTTAGTCTAAGAGATTTGGGTACAAAAAATCTCTTATTACATACACCCTGCGTGGTGATGTCCACCAAGAAAAATATATATTTAGGTTTAATTATATATTTCTTTTTCCATTATCATTAATAATTGATGTTGAGTTCAAAAAAGTTTTTTAGGTTTTTTTGGTTTTTATTAACAGTCCTGGAAATAGAGAAAAAATAGAAGAAAACAAAAATAATTAGTGAAAATATTCATAGAAAAAATAGTTAGGTCTTGAACAAAAAAAAAAACACTATCGTATAGTCGGACGGGGCCGACTATATGATACCCTTCACCACCTTGGGTATATTCGACAGATGAATCCCAACAGACGTCGCATTTTTAAAGGACTAGTAGCATTTTTAAAAGGACTTTGGTGCACCATTTACCTTAAATCGGATGAAAACATATATGGAAGATATATCTAAATCTGAATCGATTTTCACGAAACTTAACACACATCATTCTAGACTCAATTCAGTACGCTATGCCAAATTTCGTGCAAATCGAAGGATATATAGGGTCTTTGGTGCACCATTTACATTAAATCGGGCGAAAATATATATGTGAGCTATATCTAAATCTGAACCGATTTTCACGAAATTTAACACACATCGTTCTGGACTTAATTCAATACACTGCCAAATTTCGTGCTAATCGAAAGATATATAGGGACTTTGGTACACCATTTACATTAAATTGGTCGAAAAAATATGTGGGAGCTATATCTAAACCTGAACCGATTTTCACGAAACTTAGCACACACCATTCTAGACTCAATAAACTACGCTGTGCCAAATTTCGTGCAAATCGAAAGATATATAGGGACTTCGGCACACCATTTACCTTAAATCGGACGAAAATATATATGGGAGCTATATCTAAATCTGAACCGATTTTCACGAAACTTAGCACACATCATTCTGTACTTAATTCACTACGATGTGCCAAATTTCGTGCAAATCGAGAGATATTTAGGGACTTTGGTGCACCATTTACCTTAAATCGGGGGAAAATATATATGGGAGCTATATCTAAATCTGAACCGATTTTCACGAAATTTAGCACACATCATTCTAGACTCAATTCAGTACACTGTACCAAATTTCGTGCAAATCGAAAGATATTTAGGGACTTTGATTCACCATTTACCTTAAATCGGATGAAAATATATATGGGAGCTATATCTAAGTCTGAATTATCACAAAATTTTGTACACATCATTCTAGACTCAATTCAGTACGCTGTGCAAAATTTCGTGCAAATCGAAAGATATTTAGGGACTTTGGTTCACCATTTACCTGAAATCGGACGAAAATATATAGGGGAGCTACATCTAAAACTGAACCGATTTTCAGGAAACCTATCACACATCCTTCTAGACCTAATTAAGTGCGCTGTGCCAAATTTCGTGCAAATCGAAAGATATATAGGGACTTGAGTGCACCATTTACCTTAAATCGGACGAATATATATATGGGAGCTATAGTGCCAAATTTCATCCAATTCGAATAATAAATGCGACCTGTACTTTGTTTACAATTGAACATGGACAGACAGACGGACGGACATGCATAAATCGACTTAGAAAGTGATTATATGCATATTCTCAAAAGGAACCATGTGCCTATCTCGTTTCCTTTTGCCTGTTACAGACATATGCACAAAGACATAAGACCCTGTACCACAGTGTGGTGAAGGGTATAAAAATATTTAAAAATCCACGCGTTATAGTAGGCCTTGAAAACAATTATTTAAAAAATCCTGATCTGGCTACATATTCAGCTTCAGATTGTACTCAAAGACACCACATTTTGTTTCTTTGCATTTGCATGCGAACACACAACCTGCTATGACAAAAACATATCCCGAAAAAGATTTTCTGTCCACAGCATCTCCCCTGCTCAATCAGCATCCGCGTAACATTCTATGGGCTTACCAGTTTTCTCGTAGCATAACTTTTAATTCATAGTCCTTTTCAGATACCTTTAGAGTTGTGCAATCTAGTTCACTTAGCGGATCGATGTTTCACGCTCCGTTTTTTAAAAGGAACTAGTTCTTTAATGTAGTTCCGTTGCTCCATATAGTTCCTTTATCCCATACAGTTCCTTTCCTTCAAATAGTTCCGACTCCTACATAGTTCCTTTGAATCACTCTCTTTCATCGTTCTTTTTTTTTTGTTCTCGGAATAGTTCCAATGAACTAGTTCGTACCGGAACTACCCAACTGTAGATACCTTAGTATATGTTTATAGGCTGCTTCGTGCTCAGAATGCGGGTCACAGTTCATTTGCGACAGTTTTTCAACTGAAAACAGTCTTGAATGGTTCGGCTGGTAAACCATCGGCGGCACCTGCTGCTGTATTGTTCTTGAGCCGATTAATTGATTTTATGACCTCATCTTGGATAGGTGGTATACACTCTATACCATCATCTCTTATTGGTTCTGGGGTATCTTCTTCTGCACCGTCACTATTTGATACTATATTTTTTTTTTTTCAAAATGCTCCTTCCAGATCCTCAACACGCTGTCTGTATCTGTCACCAGGTTTCCTTCTGCACATCCAGTCTTGAATAGTTCGGCTGGTAACCCATCGACACCTGCCGCTTTATTGCTCTTGAGCCGATTAATTGCTTTTATGACCTCATCTTGGCTAGGTGGTATACAATCTATAACATCTTCTTTTATTGATTCTGGGGTATCTTCTTCTTCACCACCACTATTTGATACCAGAAGCTTTTCAAAAAGCTCCTTCCAGATTCTCAACACGCTGTCTGTATCTGTCACCAGGTTTCCTTCTACACATCTCTACAGGAGGATGTGCCTGCACCAAAGCCTTCGGTTTGGTGTTTAACTCGTTGGTAAAATTTCCGGACTTTATTTCTGGAGTATCTTCTTCATCGTCACTATTTGATACCAGAAGTTTTTCAAAATGTTCCTCCCCGATCCTCAGCACGCTGTCTGCATGTGTCACCTGGTTTCCTTCTGCACATCTCTACAGGAGGATGTGCCTGCACCAAAGCTTTCGGTTTGGTGTTTTATCCGTTGGTAGAATTATCGGACTTCATTCTGACTCCTGTACATCTCGATTTGCTCACGCTTACGTTTTTCTTGTTCTTTCTTCTTTTATCCGGAAAACACGTTTCTCCTCTCTCTCCTTTTCTCCCGATAATTCTCCATCACGTTACGTTTTGCTACGCCGTCTGCAGGGTTGCCCTATTCTCTGCGTTTTTCACATCAGTAGCATTATGACACTCCTGATCGTACCACGGATTTCTTGCTGGTGGTTTTTGGTACCCAAGTGTTGCTTTTCCTGCCGTTTGTAGGGCAATTATCTGTCATCGTGCTTCTATACTATTATCGGGGACGATAAGTGCTTTCGTCAAGCAGTTGGGTAAGTTGAGTAGGAGTAGGCTTCTGCTATCTGTTGTGTTTACAGATTTTTGACGTCAAATTTCCGTGTTACATTAAGACGGGTGCGTACCTTGGCTGCCTCAAGGTAATGGTCCGAATCGATATTCGCTCCTCAGATCGATCGGACGTCTAAAACACTGGATGAACCCAAGTGTTGCTTTAGCTGCAGTTTTTAGGGAGTGGGCAATTCTCTGCCATTGTGCTTCTATATTATTAAGGTAAGTTGAGCAGAGTAGGCTTCTGCTACATGTTGTTTTTGCAGCTTTTCGACGTCGAGTTTCCGTGTTACATTAGATCGCACCTTTGCTGCTACATTAAGACGGGTGCGTCTTGCCGAATCGATATTCGCTCCCCGGATGGATCGGACGTCTAAAACACTGGATGAATGCCTTCCGATTTGATTTCTCGTTGTTCGATCGGGAGAAATTCAACTGGCCTTGTGATGATATATTTATTAATAATAACAGCAAGACTACTAAGTTTCTCCCCTGCCTCTACTAGGGATACGTAGTCGAGCGCAAAAGTCGACATTTCAATTTTTGCCTCTGACCAAACATTAGATTTTTAGACTTTTCGATTTTTGCTTGACTAAAAAGTCGACTTTTCGATCTTTCGATTTGGTTAAAACTGTTCAAAATCGATTTTCGACTTTTACTGACTTCTGCAAAATCGGCTAAAAATTTGATTTTTTATATGAATTCTTGTGAACAGATAAAGTAAAGTTCCGATTTTCTCATAGATCAAAAGTCGACTTCAACTTTTCAATGCAAAAAATCGATTTGTCGAAAGTCGATTTGCTTATCCCTAACCTTTACTTACTTCATTTAATGCTGTGCAAATTTGTTTCTCTTCCTTTAGTTTTGTTGTAGTTTTCTTTTCGTTTCTTGTTCTTCAATTTAGGTTATCAATTTCTCTCTCTCTGTTTCTTTCTATATCTCTCTCTATCTCTCCTTTAACAATCATAGAAATCTCCAACGGGACTCCATCATTTATTTTTTTGGACACATCCTCTCAGACAAACCATTCATCTTTTTGGGCAGCACCCACAGCATTGGCGGGATTTGCGGCCACATTATTGATCGCGATGTTTGTCTGGGACATGCCCAAATTGTTAGCGGACGTTGCTGAGAGATCTTGACCTAATTGACGAAATTTGCCAAGCACCAGATGGGACGGACTTTGGTGGCCATCTTCAAGTAGTTGAGTTGCGTGCGGAGGTACCCGTATGGTCCCGCAGGGTGATGCCAGTTTCCCGACGTTGGCGGTAGTTGGGTGTGTTCACGGCTCAGAGTACCGCCGCCGCCACCGCCTCCGGCAATGCCGTGTGTGTAATGCAGGTGTTTCGAGGAGCCATTCGTTTCGGCCGTGTGATGTACTGTGGAGAAGCCGAAGAAGAAGTTATTGTAATTGTTTATATGAATGTGTGTGTGTGAGTGTGTAACTTACATTGCATGGCCGTTGTATGCTGATTATTACCATCGTCCTGCCGCCGACACACACATATGGTTATGCCCACAATAGCGGCACTTATTATCAGCAGTATACTAACCACAATCATTACAATCCATGTCATATCCATGCCAAATACAGTGCTGGTGGTTTCATCTACGGATAAAGAGAGAAAGAGAGGGGGGAGAGAGAGGAGAGCAGAGAGGTTAACAATTTTGTTTTAAAATATTACATTTGATTAATATATGTATGCGGAGGATAGGAGAGTTGAAATGTTGGGGTTTTGAAATTGTTACACATTTTACAAATGCAATGTAGGTGTGTATGTATGTCTGTATGTGTGTGTTGGTGTGTAAATGTTATTCTGACGCTTGACTGGTTTAACGAAGTTCGACATTTCATGAAGAAGTTCATAATGTCACAGTTACTTTTTGATATCCCGATATCCTGCTGTGTGATATGTTTATTTTTCCAAATGGACATTTATTTATGGCAAATAAATGACGGATAGAATTGTGAAGAGGGTGGCGTAGGGGATGATAGATACCAAGCAACCAAGCTCTGATTAGCTTTAACGTGGCGAAGTCCAGGCTTATCATGGTCCCTCTTTCATCTCAAATGTGGACACTGACCTGCCTGGGCTGCTATTTTCATCACCCGATGAAATAATGAATATTGACGTCGAATGAACCATGAGTTGTACCAGCTGTACTTGGACATCGACATTGTTAGACGTATTGAGCTGCAGCTACTACGTTAGCATGTTGTGAGAATGGATGAAGATGCCCCAGCCCAGAAGGCATATAAAAGCGAACCAGCTGATGGTTCACGCAGAAGGCGAAGGCCACGAATACGATGGAAAGATCAAGTCGAAGACAACATTGCCGAAAATAATCTTTCAAATTGGAAAAACTGCGCAAAAGATCGACGCGCCTGGAAATCTTTTCTAAGCTCGGCTTATGGATCGAAAGTTCTGTCACAAGCCAGCTATGTAAGTAAGTAAGATGAAATAGTGAGCTTATATATGACGCGTGATCAACCATAAGAACTATAAACAAAAATGGGTTGAGGCATCGGGTTAGTTGCCCACACTCGGAAAACCCAATCTACTATGAAAAAGCAAAGAAAAAGAATACCAGACCCACCTAACGTTGACGACCCCCCACCCAAACGTATAAAGGACCACGTTCTGGGAATCTGCACTTGGAATGTGCGCACCTTGTACAGAACAGGCGCTGTGTTCGCTTTGGCGGAGGTACTCAAAGAGATACAAGCCGATATTATAGCCTTTGCAGAAAAAACGATGCAATGGGACTGGTGTAAGTAAATCAGATGATTACGCCCTGTATCGATAGCTGCCATGAAATGAGACATGAATTTGGCTGCGGATTTATGGTTAACAGGAGAATAAAAGACCTCGTCTCCAGCAGATTCACTCCAGTAGATGAGTGAATTGCTATAATCCGCTTTAAAGCGAAGTTCTTCTACATCAGTCTCATTTGCGCCCATGCTCCGACCGAAGATAAAGATGAACAGACCAAAGACTTATTTTACGAGAGCCTAGAAACAGCATATGAAAAATCGGAAGGGAAAATATCTTTGGCACCACCGTCGGAAAATTCAGCCTCCATGAAGAAACATCAGACAACGGCATGAGGTTGATTGACTTCGCGGCAGCAAAAACATGGTAGTTAGCAGCACCAGATTCAAGCATCTCGATATACACAAGGTCACTTGGATTTCTCTCGATCGAACAAAGAAAAATCAAATCGATCATGTTGTGATAGACGGAAGGCATTCATTCATGACATTAAAATTCTGGTAGGAGATTTTAATGAAAAATCGGAAGGGAAAATATCTTTGGCGTCCCACCGTCGTAAAATTCAGCCTCCATGAAGAAACATCAGACAACGGTATGAGGTTGATTGACTTCGCGCGGCCGCAAAAAACATGGTAGTTAGCAGCACCAGATTCAAGCATCTCGATATACAAAAGGCCACTTGGATTTCTCCCGATCGAACAACGAGAAATCAATTCGACGATCATGTTGTGATAGACGGAAGGCATTCATCAAGTGTTTTAGACGTCCGATCGATCCGGGGAGCGAATATCGATTCGGACCATGGCCTTGTGGCAGCCAAGGTACGCACCGTCTTAATGTAGCAGCAAAGGTGCGATCTAATGTAACACGGAAATTTGACGTCGAAAAGCTGCAAAAACCCAACAGATAGCAGAAGCCTACCCCGCTCAACTTACCCAACAGTTTGACGAAATCACTACATGTCCCGATAATAATATAGAAGCACATTGGCAGAGAATTGTCCACTCCCTACAAACTGCAGCAATAGCACCACTTGGGTACCAAAGACCACCATCAAGAAATCCGTGGTACGATCAGGAGTGTCGTAATGCTACTGATATGAAAAACGCAGGGTATAGGGCAATCCTGAGGAAAGTAATTTTACCAATACCGCGTAAAACACCAAACCGAAGGCTTTGGTGCAGGCACATCCACGTGTAGAGATGTGCAGAAGGAAACCTGGTGAGATATACTGACAGCGTGTTGAGGATCTGGATAGAGCTTCTGGTATCAAATAGTGGCGGTAAAGAAGATACCCCAGAACCAATAAGAGATGATGGTATAGAGTGTATACCACCTAGCCGCGTATAAATTGGAGAGCTCGTGGTTCATTCGACGCCGATATTCACCGTCGACGCAGATCGGCCCGTAGATCTTTCGGAGAATTTTACTTTCAAACACCCCAAGAGCTGTCTCATCTGCTTGCGCAAGTACCCATGCTTCTGATCCATATAATAGAACGGGTAGTATCAGCGTCTTGTAAAGTTTGAGTTTGGTCTGGCGGGAGATGGCCTTGTTTCTAAACTGGTTATTTAGATCATAGTAGCATCTGTTGGCCATCACAATCCTTCTCCGAATTTCAATACTGATGTCATTCGTTTTGTTTCTGGCGGTACCAAGGTATATAATATCTTTGACTACTTCGAAGCTGTAGTTCTCAAGTTCCACAGTTGGTCCGATTTTACTGGACGTCTTGCACGTTGATACCATTAGCTTGGTCTTCTCGCCGGTTAATACCAGTCCCACAACTTTGGCAGACTCCTTCTCAATTTGTTCAAATGTGGCAGTTACCGCTCGCAATGTTCGACCCATTATATCGATGTCATCGGTGGCGTAGGCGAGTAACATGTGTTGTTTGGTGTACAGGTTGCCTTTCTGTTCACCTTTGCGTCTCGTATGACCTTTTTCAGCAGGATGTTAAAAAGATCACACGACAAACTGTCACCTTGTCTGAATCCTCATTCGGTATTGAAGGGCTCCGATAGGTCCTTTCCTACTTTAACTGCTGACCTTGTGCCAAGGTTATCCTGCATAGCCGTATTAATTTTGCAGGAATGCCCAACGTAGACATGGCTTTAAACACCTCTGAACGGATAGGACTGTCGCGAATGCGGCTTTATAGTCGTCGAATAGGTGGTATGTGTAGATGTGTTTTTCGTGGGTCTTTTCCAGGATTTGGCGCAGAGTGAAGATCTGGTCAATGGTGGATTTGCCACTTCTGAAGCCGCATTGGTATGGTCCAATGATGTCATTGACCATTGGCTTCAATCGTTCACACAGCACACTGGATGTCACTTTATATGCGATGGGAAGGAGACTTATTCCTTTATAGTTGGCACATATCGTCTTGTCTCCTTTTTGTGCACGGGACACAGGATGCTGAGGTTCCAATCATTGCGCATGCATTCATCTACCCAAATTGTACTAATCAGCTGGTGCATGCTCCTGACCAGCATCTGGCCACCAGTCTTGAATAGTTCGGCTGGTAACCCATCGGCTGCTTTGCTTTTCTTGAGCCGATTAATTAATTTTACGACCTCATCTTGGCTAGGTGGTATACACTCTATACCATCATCTCTTATTGGTTCCGACCCTATAAAGTATATATATATATATATATATATATACTCTTGATTAGCGTAAAATTCGATGAAGATTTAGCCATGTCCGTCTGTCTGTTTGTATTCACTCTAGCCACTAAACGAATTTGTTTTTATAGAGAGTCGTACTTTGTCTGCAAGTAGGACAAGTTTGAAGATGGGATATATCGGTCCACGTTTAGGCAGCGCTCCCATATAAGGGCCACACCAATTTTCGGTATTTTTAGGGTTTTTGAGCGAGTTTTTTTTTTTAACTGGGGTACCAAATATCCTCACTAAAAATTATAAATATAGGTATCAGTAGCCTAAAGGCTGGGGGTAGATACAAATATCCTCTACTATAAGCCTTCAAAAAATTTGTAAAAAAATGAACGGCTCCTTAGTAAAAATATATCCTCTTTCGGATATTTTTGTCTCCCAATTTCGTGCCACATCTAAAAACTACATCGCTCACCCCATCGCATAGTGAAAGTTTCATCCAAATATCTCCATTCATCGCCGAGTTATGGCCATTTGAAATTGATCGTGTGTCAAAATATAGCTGCTACACGATTCTGTTGGCCTGGTACGGCAAATGGGAAAATTGATGAAATTGTATGTCCACAAAACCCGAAAATGCCGGATGCGTTGCCAATTAGTTTACTTTATGTTTCCATGTTGGTTGGCGTTATTCTGAGCATACTTTCAGGCGTTTCACAAAAAACCGAAAAATGCATGATGCGTTGCCACATTGTTTTTCGGTATTTGTGTAACGCCTAAAAGTATGCCCAGAATTTCGCCAACTAACATGGACACACACACAGCAAACTATTTGGCAACGCATCCGGCATTTTTCGGTTTTGTGGACTTGCAATTTCATCAATTTTCCCATTTGCCGTACCAGGCGAACAGAATCGTGTAGCAGCTATATTTTGACACACGATCAATTTCAAATGGCCATAACTCGGCGATGAATGGAGATATTTGAATAAAATTTTCACTATTCGATCGGGGGAGTAATGCAGTTTTACTGTGTAGCAATAAAGTGCAAGTCGAAAATATTCGAAGGAGGGTTTTTCTAATTTGTTACTAAAAATACCACGGGTGGATGGGTTCTTAAAGGAAATGTTCACGTAGCGGTAGGAGGGTAGCACTTTTAGCACTATTAGTGCTAGTTTTAGCACTTTTTAAACTCGTTTAGCACCAAAAAAATTGAT